CCCCCCCCCCAATCAAAGTACAGTTTTCAAAAAAGTCAGTAAAAATCTACTGAAATACAAAGTGATATTTACAACCAATTGCCTGCTGATTCAGTAAAACCTCTTCAAACACACAAGGCAGAATTTATAAGGGAAAAATGACATTATAAGAAAGACAGTATGTGACTGTAACCACATAATGAACACAGACATTTGATAAAGGTAATACAAACCAGATAAACAACATAATCTGAGGCCATTTTTTCTATAATAATGTGTGAGTTGAAAACACTGAAATATTTGATTGTACATACTCAAAGCACATGCAAACGTTTATTAAAAAAATTGCACCACTTTATTTGCAGATACAAATGCCTTTGATAGCTGTAATCAGAAGAAATTTCAGAGGTAATCTTCCCTTATTTTGTTCCACAATAAATACAACAAATCTGTATATGAACAATTTCAAAACAACCCATTGTGTCTATTAGAATCAAAATTCTCATATTAGTCTTTGCTCTTTTCTTTTTGAAGCCGTGTCAGTTTTTGGTCTGTTCAGAATGTCTTACTTTTGCTCTTTTCATTTTATCGCACTAATTGAATTTGGCTCTCAAATTTGGCAACGAGTCTTTAGATTTCCAAACATGTTGCCTGTAGGTGTACACTAGCCAATGGCATGGCTCCACCACCGTGGTCTGTTTCTGCACATACAGACAGTACAGCAAGGATCTTTTCCCACTGTGCCTCCTTGTCACTTTCGGCACTCTGGCACGCTCCAACAAAGTCGCCCCTCTCACACACAGACACACACAAACATACGCGCGCGCACACCGAGACACGTACGCATAGCGAGAGTCACATTGCGTGTGTTCCTTCCCATCCGTGCCTCAGAGGACTCTGCACTTTTTCCACAGACGAGGACATGCATGCGCACACACTCACAGAGTCCTGATACACATTTCCCAACTCTGCTGGCATCCTGGGAGGGAAATGCAAGAGAGAGAGAGAGCGAGCAAGAGCATATGTTGGATAGACGTTTGTTGAGGGGGGATATTTCTCTTTGGATGTTGTCTTACAAGCTCTGACGGCATGGCGCAGAAAGAAGGCATTTTTTCGTCCAATTTATTAATCCTTTTAGGCAATGTTCTCTGTTCAGAAATGCAAATTGAATCAATCTGAGGCTGACTTTAAGACTTTTCAAGTGGGATTTAATTAGAAGCCAGGGCCTGCAGTTTTTAATGAGAGAGGGGGTGGAGAGATGGAGAAAGAGAGAGAGAGACAGAAAGAGAAAGAGAGAGGCATGGGGAGGGAGAGTGGGTTGCGGTTTTGATCTGGGGGTCCTGCTGGAGAAAGGATGCACAAACACTCATAACATACAGGCACAAACACTAATAAACACACATGCAGAAATACGCACACACGCACCCTGTAGAGCTAAGTATGAGGCGGATGCCCGCTGTTTGGTTTTTCTCACTTCCCTCGCTGAGAGTTCAACCAGAG